TGGAAAAGCTCAGCAGGTCTGGCAGCATCTGTGAAGAAAAGAATCAGAATTAACGTCTCGGGTCCGGTGACCCTTCCTCAGAACCGAAATGTTAACTCTGATTTTTTTCCTTCACAGATGCTGCCAGACCTGCTGAGCTTTTCCAGCAACTTCTGTTTGTGTTCCTGATATACAGCATCCGCAGTTCTTTCAGTTTTTGTTAAGTTAAACTATCTGTTGCACCTGTTGCCCCACTGGTGATGCTGCTTTATCTACAAATGGAGCCTGTCTTTTTGCAGGAAAGAGGTTCTCAGCAAATCGTTTGTAGGTTGCTTGAAGAAGTTGGAGATTTACCGTTCTACATTTGACCTGCTGAGGAATTCCTTGGGTGTGAGGAAAGGGTGTCTACTTGAGGTAAAGAATAACAGATGTAAATTCATCAAGAGTGAGGACTTTTTATTTAGAAGAGAAATCTTGAAGTTTAAAAACCACCGTCTACAAGTTCCACTCCAGGCCACTCACCATCCTGACTTGTAAATATATCAGCATTCCTTCACTGTCACTGGGCCAAAATTCTGGAAGTCCCTCCCTATTAGCATTGTGGGTCAACCCACAGCACATGGACTGTAGCCATTCAAAAAGACAGCTCACCATCACCTCCTCAGGGACAACTAGGGATGGGCAACAAATGCTGGCCCAGTCAGTGACACCCACATTCCACAGGGGATAAAAAGATAGCTGCAAGTTGTTTAACAGGTGCTGATGTTAACCATTGTCATTAGCAGCAAGCTGGTCAGACTTTCCTCCTGTCAGGTGAAAGGGCTAAGTTAAACATAGTGGGATCCAGACAGCTTTATTAAATGCATTACAAAATTGATTCTCACAATCACAGTTGCGTTAACATTTAACTCTTAATGTTCAAATTGACAATTATAAGTTGACTCCCCTCAGGGTGCAGAGATGTTGCGAAATATCTGTGCAGGAGCCTCATCTATGAATTGTAACTAGTGGTTGATTGTACCTGCGGACAACTTGGCTGGATGTTGAAGGCACTGAGAACATTCAGAGGCATGGAAGATACCGGAAAGTGAGTTGAGACCATCTGGGAATGTTGAAGAATTTGTAAAGTTCCCTGCATTACTGGAGGTTTTTTTGGAACAAGACTTCCGCTGAAGAAACAGTTTGATTACTCCTCTCTCTCCTGGGGGATTGGCTTACAGCAGGAAGTCTATGGACTAGAAGATTTGGAAAGGGATGTTACTGATGCTATAATAGAGGTTACACTTATGGGATGTTGCCAGGAATGGGAATGGTTTGAATTTTAGAAATAGGCTGGGTCTTTTTTCACTGGAGTGTAGGAGGCTGAGGGGTGACCTTATAGAAGTTTATAAAATCATGAGGAGCACAGATAAGGTGAATAGCAAAGGTCTTTTCCCTAAGGTGGGGGAGTTCAAAACTAGGGGGCATATGTTAAAGGTCAGAAGGGAAAGATTTAAAAAGGACATGAGGGGCAACTTTTTTTACACAGATGGTTAGTCTGTGGACTGAACTGCCACAGGAAGTGGCGGATGCAGGTACAGTTACAACGTTTAAATAACATTGGATAAGTACACGAATAGGAAAGGTTTGGAGGGATATGGGCCAAACACAGGCAGGTGGGGTTGTTTAGTTTGGAAACTTGATTGGCATGGACTAGTTGGACCGAAGGGTCTGTTTCCATGCTGTATGACTCAATGACCGTATTTGGTAGCGTGCATTATGTGGTTGACAAACTGGCCCAGCCCTCCAACAGAACAGCACACAGTGAGGAGGCTAATAGAGCTAGATGTTTGAATCTGTAGGCACTGATATGTGAGCCCTTGAGAAATAGATCCCTGGTCTTCACCAGCTTTCCTGTTTGTGCACTGTGACTGAACAAGTACAGTCTGTGAATTTTATGGTCTTACTTGATGCATTAACTGTGCCGCTGAATTACAAAGATCCACGGAAAGTCACAGGATGCTGGCTTGCTCAGAGACAGTGGCCTTGTGTCTGTCCATCAGCCTTAAGAAAACAAACCAAAGTCAGAATGCAGTATGACTTAATCACCTTCAAATAAATAGTAGTATATTGTATGGAATGTTACAAGCTTTTGGTGCATATGTGTTATGAGCAAGCTATGGTAGAAATCTGAGATAACAAGGTGTAGAGCTGGATGAACACAGCGGGCCAAGCAGCATCAGAGGAGCAGGAAGGCTGACGTTTCGGGCCTAGACCTTTCATCAGAAATCTGATGGTAGAAATATTGTAGAAATCTGATGCTTTTGGCCCCGCTCTCTTGTATTTAGCTTTTGTTTTATAATCAGACAGCTCTCTTTGAAAGAACGTTGGGTGAGTTCTGCTTCAGACATATCCAGTTCGTATGTGTATTCCCTTCTATCATTTGTCACCTTGCTTGCCCTATAATTCAATAAATCAGTCTGAGATATTAGCTTCACCTTTCGCTGCTTTCTTGCAGACAACCATTTTCTTCAGCACATCCCTCCAGGTCTTTGGATTCTCAATGGATCATTCACCTCCTCTAGAACTTTCACTTACCCTTGTTGCACCCATTGCTGTGATGTTTCGTTGCTGCATTCCTTGACTTTTGTTAAGAACGTCCAGCAGCTGGTTATCACGTTTGCTCTTTGTGTGGCTGAGACACTTGCACCCTGCAGGAATTGAACCCAAAGTCAGCCCCTGCCCCTTCTCCATGAACATAGAACAGTACAGCACAGTACAGGCCCTTCGGCCCACGATGTTGTGCCGACCTATTATCCTACTGTAAGATCAAACTACCCTGCAAACCCTTCATTTTGCTATCATCCATGTGCCTATCCAAGAGTCACTTGAATGTCCCAGATGTATCTGACTCCACTATCACCGCCAGCAGCGCATTCCACGCACCCACCACTAGTCCATGCCACTGAGACCAGGACCAGACTGTTTCCCAGGGCAGTAATGGGCTGTTTGCCTCAACGTTAGGATGTGCTGGATGCTGCGCTCTGGATGTTGATATAACACAACGTTTTATTCTTGCTCCACGAAAAGAAAACAGCAAATTAGCAGATTGGCAAGTGATTTAGCTAAAACAAAACTGAAGTAACTAGACAATCGTGTAACTGTGGATTGTAGCTGCAAAATAATTGGAAAGCTTTTCAGCTCTTGTTCTTAGCTACTGACTGCTGAAACTAGGTCTGCTCTGTGCTATTACCTGTGACAAATCATGACGTGGCAATTTTTCCCACCAACAAGAATAGGTAATTTAGCTGTAAGCACTCAGTTCTGATCACTTTCCATTGTGAGGGTGAATTGTAAACTAATTGATTATTTGATTCTGTAACTGCATTGGCAAGAGGTATATTATAGATGAAAATGCTATCTGTAACTTTTCCTTAACATTTTGTTTAACAGCCTATCCGTAGTGTCACTATTTTGAATGACGGCTATGTACAGTTACGGCCGCGAGTCCTACCAGTGGAAACCAAGTTAATGGCAACCTTCAGCACAAAGAACGACACTGGGATCATTTTTGCCGGTTTTGGCAAACCAACGAGGAGCCGCAATCGTCGGCAGACAAAAATGGTGAGTCAAGTCGTGTCGACCCAGTCTAGTATTCGACAAAAGAAACAAGGAGGAAAGGAAGGGATTTTTGTTTGCAAAGCAAAGTCACTTACCTTGATCTGGAATACCCTGCCTGGTGGAAACAGATTCAATCAGAGCTCTCAAAAGACAATCGGATAAATACTTGAAAGAGAAAGTTTTGCAGATCCATGCAGAGAGACCAGGAAAAAGGGACTAATGGGATATTTCTTCCAAAGAGCTATCACAAGTTCAGTGGGCCGAATGGATTAAGGTGAATAAAGCATAAGAACATTCCAGAGACATGTCGATTCAGGTAACAGTGAACAAGAGGACAAGAAGTCACATTCTCGATCACTTTACCACAAACTAAAAGGTCTTAAAATGAAAGAACAGTGTAAAAAGTAAGCTGATCAAATGCCTTCTCAAGTCTCAGAGGAACATCTGAATGCACTTTGACTGCAGTTCAAAGTAATTGATTGTAAGCAATGTTGTTATACAGGCAATCTTCTCTTAAATATTTAAATATGATTATTTCCCATTTACTGACCTGTAGAGAACAAAAAAAAATCCGTTTCTGTCTATTTTTTAAGGTTTGATTTTCGAAACTAAGCAACTTTTAAACCGTTGAAACCAAAAGCAAACCACCCCATCAGCAGACTGCAACTTTATACAAAAGATCCAAACAGATATTGGTGTCACCGCACCGAGTGCACAAGTTGTATGGGCTAACTGCTGTCTTGAAGTGATCTCTTTGTGCTTTAATATTGATTGATTGAGAAATTTAATATTTGAGATGGACAAGTGTTTGAAGGATATGCCACTATACTGTGGCAGGGTTTCTGCACTTCCATTTGACAATCATCTTTTTTTTAAAATGCAGAAGTGTTTGGAGGTTCTGGCTGCAGTGTATGTCTGTATTGAGGGCTCTACCTGATTAAAAGGCTGCTTTTTACAAATCATAGATGGGCGACGTTCAGTCTTGGGTTATAGAGCTGAGGTGTTACCTGATGTGAGAGAGAGAAAGCAATTAAAAGAGTAGCAAATTCTATTTGTGAGAAGTCCCCATTTGATAGAATATTTAATTCAAGAACGTACGTTTTCCTGTTTTAATGAGGACATTAACACATTTATAATGAAATTAATCACTAATACCAGTGGTAATTTCAAGTCATACACTATGTCCTCTAATACCTCTTCCTTACCTTCCTTGTATTTACCCTTATTTTTTATTTTCTTCCATGCCCCATTCTGTTTCTGTTTCTCAGTTTCTCTTCACGACCCAGGTCACTGAGGTAACTCGATACCTACTGAGGAAGCAGAATATGCCAGTGAAGGGAAACCCTTTTTCCTTTTGTGTAATGTGGATATCATTGGCTGGCTGGTGATTGTTGCTGTACATCCCTAATTGCCCTTGAGGAGGTGGAGTATTTTGTCAGAGTACTTTCACTGTTACATCAACAGTAGCTCCATTTCCACTGCATGCTGCCACTCCCTGGAGCTGGAGTCAGAGAACAGACCAAGAGTTTCCACTGCAGTTAGTGCACTGTGGCTCGTACTACTATTAAACTCACAGAATACGCGCTTAAATGTTAGAATGAAATTGAATTTCGACCCAGTCTTCTTGATCCCTAACAGTACTGATCTACATTTGCTCCCAGTCTGGCAACATCGTTGTTTTAAAGATCCTCATTGTTGCGTTCAAATCTCTTCATTGCCTCATCTCCTCACTGGGTTTGTAACATTCCGTGGTCCGTCTTCTGAAGAGGTGCCGTACTGGACTCAACAGACGCTGCCAAACCTGCTGAGTTTCTCCAGCGTCCTCTGTGTTTGTTCTCCAACCTTACATCTGAAATCTCTGGGCGGCTCTGTTTCTGTCTTCCTGCACACCCCATTGTGATACTATCGTTACTAAGACTGTTGTCAGGATTGATTACATCAGGTTGCTTACTCCCCTTTCAGCAGGAGTGTAGTCCTGGAATAAAGCACTCGCATAAATGCTTGGGAGTTGGTAAATGCTGACTGTACCTGAGCAGCATTGAGTAACAGTGCCATGGGTTGTGGGTAGTATTTTTCAAAGTGATTGCCTTTTAGCCAACTCCTTATGATGTGTACCTTGCATGTGATTGAGGATTTGATGAGCTCCTCTTTGATATCCACAGGCGTTCCTTGCCGTTATGATAATTGATGGCCGTGTGGAAGCTCACGTAAACACTGGCGATGGAGTCCATACTAGGAGAGTCGTTGCCAAGTCCCCTTCAGGAACCTTCAGTGATGGACAGGAACATTCTATCATACTGACAAGAAGTAAGAGGTGTGTGTTAACATGCACAGATCTGATTAAGATGAGAGTTTTTACAATGAAATGGGTACAAATGAAATGAAAGAAAGATAGGATAATGAGTGCTGATTACTGAGTTTCATCAGGTCTGGTTTTATTACTGACGCACCAGATTTTTCAAAATCCGTGGATGTGATGCAGCCATCAAGGCCCATTTCTAATTGGTTTTGAACGCATTGGCCAAGAACACCATTTCAGGGGGCAGTTAAGAGTCAGTCGCATTGCTAGGGGTCTGATTACCAGGTCATCACTGGGCTTTTAACCTCACCAAATGTCATGGTGGCACTTGAACTCCTGTCTCCAGGACTTTACCCTGGGCATCAGGTTTACAAATCCAATGCTATGACCACTACACTACTATCACCACATGAAGAATGCAGGAGGTCAGTGAAAGAGCACATTTAAATGCAGCAACAGCTGTTTAAGGGGAATGAGTTAAACTTCTCAGATGAGCAGTTTCTTGAGAGTAGGTGATTTGCAGAGTATTGAGGTCCAGAGATTATACTGTCGGGTTTTCTGGTCGACAGTTACATAGGAGACTGGAAGGGTTATGGTTGATAACAAGCAGCAGGCTGCAGTTTCAGTGTAAAACCGGTTATGTCCCCTCTTGCCTCTCCACCAGATAATTCCTGCTTCTGCCTCGCTCAACTTTCAGATAAGGGGCAGCTGTCTGTGTTACAGAAGCCACCTTGTCTCTCTTTGATAACTGTTCATCAAACTGGATTCAGTCACAAGCCATTTTCCCAAAAGCGTCTGTGTTAGGGGCCAGGTACTCAGTTTGCAAATAGTGATGCCAGGGTGCCCCAAACCCTTTGGCAAAACATGACATTTATACCATAGTGCACCCTTTTGACTTTGACCTGCAAAATGGGCCCTGCACTTTTCAATTTCTACAACTGTTATTCTGTCCATGAACCTCAAAATTAATCGACCATATAGTGTGGGAGGCTACTGACTGTATCCTCTTGCTTCCTTCGTACAGGATAATGATGTTACAGATTGATGAAGGAAACCTCCTTGAAATGAGACTCAGCGCCTCAGCAGATACCAGTCCTTTGAATATTACCAGACTCTACGTTGGTGGAGTTCCAACTGGAGAGGGCGCTATTGTCCTTAAGATAACAAGATCCTTCAAGGGCTGCATTAAAAACCTGGTCCTGAATACAGAGTAAGTCTGCATTGGTATAAACCAACCAGAACTGTGTTCTTGTACTGCCTGAAGTTAAAAGCTAGTGTAATTTATGTGGAATGAAATATGCTACACAGGAGTTTCTACATTTCAAAGTGAGGTCTTCTTGCAATGTTTAATGTAAAAGAGTTTTCAGTGGTCATAATCCACGGCATCAGGCTACCTGTTGTATCTCATGTGGTCTGGATTTTAACTTTAAAAACAAAAGAGCCTTTTATGTCTAGTAAATCAATCAATCAAAGCATAAAAATGGAAAGCAATGGGTGCACGCTCAGTTACATCTCACAATTTTAAAAAAAAAATCATACTGTGCTGATCCTCTCCTGAACCTGTCAGCTGTCCCAGGCCTGGGGAGTTGGGGGAGAGCTGGTGTTGTCCCAGAAAGAGAGAGCCAACACCAGTCCCCTGGCAGGGGAAAATATCTGGTAATCCCTCAGAATCATGGTGATCCCTCAAATACACAGTGGTCCCTGAGATATTCAATGATCCCTCAGATGCCCCTATCTGTATATTTAAAGCCCCAGCTGGAGTGAATAAAGGCTGCAGTCTCACACCAACAGGCCCCTTCCCCATCCTTTTTCTTCATTCATTCACGGAATGAGGGTGTCACTGACCAGGCAGCATTTATTGCCCATCCCTAATTGCCCAGAGGGGGCATTTCAGAGTCAACCACGTTGCTGTGGGTCTGGAGTCACATGTAGGCCAGACCAGGTAAGGATGGCAGTTTTCTTCCCTAAAGGGCATCAGTGAACCAGATGGGTTTTTCCCCAACAATCAGCAATGGATTCATGGTCATCGTTAGATTCCTAATTCCAGATATTTTACTGAATTCAAATTCCACCATCTGCTGTGGCGGGATTTGAACTCAGGTCCCCAGAACATTACCTGGGCCTCTGGATTAACAGTCCAGCGATAATACCACTACACCATCACCTCCCCCTTTAGTGTAGTGACTGACTTTACACCAAACCGAGCAAGTGACCTTTTGCTTTACCCGAAAATCGACCCTGCACCAATCCCGGTGGGAAATGGGTTTATGATCCTCTGTCACCATCTCCTGATCTCGATAAAATAACTGAAAGGTACGATAAGGCAGGCAGCAAAGGCTCATTAAAACAGATATCAGTCGAATTGCTCGGCCATTAGAATGTTTACAGGTTATCCCGATACAATTCCATTGAAGTGTCATCCTCACAGTGAGAAATCCATCCGGGATTCAAGCTCTGCCCAGTTCCCACATTCCAGCACTACCTGAACCCAACTTGCATCCTTTGACAAATGGCAGGTAACGGGATTGTTTGTGGGTCAGACATGACCCCACATGGCTCAGAGCTGTGCTCACTGAGGGAATCTACCAAGCGGGCACCTCCGTGTTCACGGTCCTGAAGCGGGAGCCCAGCAGGAAACACCCCTGGGTGCTGCTGAAGCTGGTTAAGAAAGTGCGAGAATGTCTCTGGAATTTTTTTTTTCTTTATTCATGAACGGGATGAGGACATCACTGGCGAGGCAGCATTTATTGCCCATCCCTAACTGCCCAGAGGGGGGCAGATAAGAGTCAACCACATTGCTGTGGGTCTGGAGTCCCATGTAGGCCAGACCAGGTAAGGATGGCAGTTTCCTTCCTTAAAGGGCATTAGTGAACCAGATGGATTTTTTTGGGATTCATGGTCATTATTAGATTCTTAATTCCAGGATGGAGGCCCTGGCTTGAGAGTTAGTTACAAGGAAGGCCCATGGCTCATCAGGCCTTCAGTTGGAGACGCTGCCCCCCCACCACCACCACCATTTCAGTAACAGTGCAAAGTGAGGGTAGGCCCTCCTGCCTATCCCAGCAAGGCTGCCTTCAAGTTGTTGCTGGCTTTAGAGACAATGCCAGGTACAACCCAGTGACCTCTGCGATGTCATTGGACCTTAAAATGGCTGTCTGACAGTGAAGGTTTGGGGGAGAGCAGAAAGAGGCCACAGCCAAAAGGGGACGGGAGTCACCAATGGCCTGTCAGCAGTATTCATATAACCCTAGAATATTTACCTGTCGTGGCAACGGTTCACTTGTGTCTGGTGTGTTTGACCTCCACATGATTTTAAAAAGGGAAAATCTTATGTTAATTCCAGGTTGTTGGACTTCAGCGGCATCATGAGGTACCAGAATATCGATCTGGACAGCTGCCTGCTTTCAGCCCCTGAGCTAAAGGCGAGAGACTCAGGGCTGGCCCTACAGCCGACTGCTAATCCCATCCAACCACCTGTGAGAAACACCAACCCCACCCACACTCCGTACAGCTCCTCCTCCAACAAGAAAACTGTAAGGAAACAGTCTCCACCACATTCACTCAGAACAGAAACGTCCTAATCTTGTGTGGAGCTGGAAGAACACAGCAGGCCAGGCAGCATCAGAGGAGCAGGAAAGCTGACGTTTCGGGTCGGGACTCTTCTTCAGAAA